AATTTAATACCGCTTTTTTATTCTTCTTTTCCTTTTCCCTTATTTTTCATCCTAAAGGAATAGAACTATAATTGCATTATTTCCAGACATTACAAATTCTGCCTCAGAGAGACAGTGGTGTTAGATGGCAGCATGGCATTCTTGTGGCCATAATCACATTGTAGACCCACATTCCGTTCTCCATCCCTCGACTTGTCCAAAACAACAAAAAAGAAAAAAGAAAAAATCGTGAAGTCAGGCTTCTGGGTGTTCGCAAAACCTTTTTTTTTTCTATCTTCAAAAGCGTCTGCTAACAAGATCTTCATAGCCAGGGATTCTTCCCTCTTCCCCGATCTCAGATCCTCGTGCACACATGTTAGTTTGTGAAAGAGTTTTGGCGACGCGTGATGGACCCGGAGATTATTGTCATAGCCAACCCCGATATTATGGAATTACAGTCAGACAGAGCGACTCCTGCTGCTGCAGGACAATTACCCTGTGGCCTGGATCTGAGTGGAAAAGCTGCATTAAGAAAAAAAAAAAAAAAAAACAGTCTATCAGATTCTGAAAAATGGGGAAGTGTTGGCAGATAATGTGTCAATACCAACCCAAGTAATCGCAGTGGGGCTCAAAGGGGGTCTGACTCCCAGATATAAGAAAGTTCCTTTCCAAGAGGAAACTCGACACCTTCAGGTTCAAGCAGAACGCAGACGTGCTCTCGTAAAAATAAAAAAATAAAAAGATTTCTGTGGACTGTTTTCTTTTAATTCTGTGAGGCTGGTTATTTGGGCTGTTACTAGTCCTCTGCAGGACTCTCTCTGGATTGGTAAAATCGTTTGATGTCCAAAGCATGTTTGGACTTCTTCAAAGGCTCCATAAACTACAGTAAATCCCACAGTAAAACCACATTTCTGTATTAGATTTCAGGGGGCCAAAACTTACAAGGGGCTCGTCAACATTTATGGCAGCGTGGCTCTCTCCCCGTTACGCCTCACTTTCCATCCTGTCGGCTCCGGCTCGCTTCACAAATTAGGCTGTGAGCTGCCTCCATCTTGTGGCCGCAAAATATATTCCAACCCAGGACTCTCGATATTCAAGGCCTGCCCTGACGGAAAGTGCTATGGAGAGAAATGGCTTCTCAAGGTGGCAGTATGACTCCACAAGTGACTCCTCTGAGAAACGTCTGAGTCCGAGGCAGACAGAAGAGATCTGACTACTTAAAAGGCTGCCAATAAACTTATCTGGTGCTACAAAATTGACAGTCTAAATTTGGAATTTTAACAGCAAACAGAAACTATGAAACATCTGTTTGTATGAAAACAAATATAACAGTTGACTGATAAGAAATTCTGAGGAACTTGAAAAAAGGATAAAGGGATTCAATCTTATTAGGTGTCTTTTTTTCAAAATCCCTTTTATTTTAAAATGTATTAAATCTCAAAATAAGGTATTTACCTGAATTCTTTAAGACGGTGTTACAGTATTCATCATCAGCAAAGAGATAGCTTATAGGCTGCAGCTGAGAGATAGGTTCAATTTTAGATGCTTAGTTCTGTTTAACTCACAAATGGTTGCATTTTTTTAGGTAATGGTTTAAATCCTCTGTAAACACTATAAAAGTTACCAATTCCGCATTGAGATTATATGAGTGTGCATGTGAGCTGTGTAATTTTAGAGTTTTAAAGAGTTCGGTCCCTAGCTAAATATTCCAAATATTCACCATACTTCAGAGAGGGTATATCTGTTTTCATTTCAGTTGTTGGGGGAAAAAAAGTCCATTTAATACAACTCACTCGGAGGCATGCTCTTTAAAATGCTACCACTGCTACTTATACTATGAAAAAATTAGTTTTGAAAAAAACGTTTTTTGGTAGAGTTGGCCAAACTTATTTCTGTTCTGTATTTACTTTTTTATTTTTAGAATCAAAAGCTGTGGTTTTGAGAGATGTTTAAAAAACATTTTGTTTAAGGACATTCATATTCTTTTAACAAAAATAGTTTTCAGTGTTTTGAATACTAGATGTTATTTTAGCTGAAAACACACACACACACACACACACACACACACACACACACACAAAGAAAAGAACACTTTCACACTTGTGGTCTGACTAATCAACGTTAAGCAAGAACATAATTTTTTTCTCTCATTTAAATTTTAATCCGTATTGTCAATCCTAAAAGTGATAAATCCCACTAAATTAGAAATGGAGTTGAAAACATGCATCCACATTTTAAAGTGTAATTTTGTTGATCTATCCATTGCCTATCACTTTCAGAGGTCTTTGAAGTTTTTGGATAAATATTCACAGCAGAAGTCCCCGGACCATCGTCTCCCTGACAACCTCCTCCAGGACCTGGAAACCAAACATGGGTTTGTTCCCACTTTTCTGCTGCAGGCACCCCATCCCCACTCCACCTGTCAATCCCCACCTCCTTCTACGCCCCCATGTGAACCCGAGGTCTTAAGCTCCTTATCTCGAGGCAGCGACTTGCTATCTATTTTCGTATTCTTCTCCATCAGGGGCGGAACAGTAGTATTGTGGATAGGACCATCGTTTCAGAGCAAGATGGTTCCCGGTTTAAATCTGCAGAGGGTTGCAGAGACCTTTCTGTGTGATTGTTCTCTCTGTGTCGGCATGGTTTCCCTCCAGGTACCACCGTCCCAAGACATGCATGTTAGGTTAATTGGACACTCTGGTTTGCCCCTAGGGCTGAATACGAGCATGTTGCTGTTTGTCTGTGTGGCCCTGTGATGGACTGGTCATCTGTCCAGGGTGTACCCGCCTCTCGCCCAATGTCAGCTGGGATAGGCTATAGCCCACCTGCGGCCCTATTGGGAATAAGAAATATAGATAATGGATGTTCAATCAAATACAGCCAGAAAGATATTTATAATACATTAATACCAACTTCAAAACCCAAATCATTACTACTTTGTTTCACACAACAAGGTAATAATACATAATTTAATAATAACCACAAAATGCAATGCCTTAATGTTTCAGTATTCTGGCTCTGAATAGAAATATATACATCTGGGACATTTTATTGTATACTTTTATTTCAATATTTTTACTTCAATATTAGGCATGGTCATTCGAGGATAATATGTTATTTGGCATTGTATTACTAGAATATAGAGGCTGTTGAAAGACTTTCAAAATGTCGTGTCAGGTTTCTATAGAATTGGTTTTACTAGATACTTTACAATTGATACTGTGAATGCTAAATGGAACAGTTTAGTAATTGCCCTATTACTCCCATTACTCTTCTTATTGTTTTTCTGATTGTGTCAAATTATAAGCTGTCAACTGAATTTGAAATAAATTGCAACGCCCCTCTACTGCTGTTTCTTCATTTCCCTCTATCTCTACACTGTCACCACTGTTGCCTCCAACAGAGTCTGACTGGTGATTTTCTTCCAGGGAGCTTTTTGTCAGGTCGATAACAACTGTAATGTTGTTGCTGCCCTGCAAAACAAGGGTTATTTATAAACTAAATGTAAAGTTAAATGTACAAACATTCACAAAAATGTTTTTTTGGATTATCTTTAACATATCTACACAAATAGTCCAAATCTATCAGAGGAGAAAACAAATGTACATGCACTTTTTGTTCAACTTTGTTGGCTTTGAAGGTAGAAAATCCATCACCAAAGCATAGGGGTGGCAGTGTCATGCTGTGGGGGATGTTTTTTAATCGTGAGGGCCTGGGGTCAGGTAGGAATGGTGCATGACTTCTAAATACAGGCAGGTTCTCCTGTAGATCCTGTCTTCATTGTTCAGAGAGTTTAAGCAGGTTATCTTTGAGGCCATGCTAAGATACGCCAGGCTTTTTAGGATATGTCCTATTGAATATAACTCTTTAACTTAAAAGAAAAAAACACCAGTTTATCTAAATTTCGAATATCATATCTCAATCACTTGTAAAATCACTCAAGGCAGCAGATTGCAGTGATTACTTTTTCAAGGCATTTAAGTTCATTGTAAGTCATTTCGGCGATGATTCCCTCCCTACGATACCCTCTCTCCACCATTTTGTCCTTTAATGATCTATTATAGTATAGCTCAAATGGAGTCTTATGCAACACAATAATGAAAGATTATCTGAAAAGTCAGTTGGAAATGTCGAGTTCATTAATTACGGGCCAGCCAGAAGCGGGGGTTTGAGCGTATCTCTCCGTATTATCCAACTGTTTCAGTTGCTGTGGTTCAGGGATTAGCGTTCAGAGGACTTCAGGAAAGTTTCAACTGTTTCCACCATCTATGTTCGACTACAAGCTTATTCTATCTATTCATGCTTCCAGTCCATGTTATCTATGTTGTGTTTATGCCTGTATTTCAATCTTTTATCTTCAAATCGTAAGACGATTGTTTACAAAAGTTTACTTGTATTGAAATGTCCTTAGCTGCCATTGACAATCCTCAGCCAACAGCTCGTTCATGTTCAGAATGGGATGAAATGAAGGGAATGGGGAGTTTGTTTGAATCCCAGCGATTATTTATCAGTCGCAATCACTCACATACACTCAAATCCATAATGAAAGAAATACAAAGCTGAGTCACGTGAAAGACTGACTTAGAAAATACAAAAAAATAATGATAAGCCTACTTCATATTAAAGCAGTGATGGGCAGAACTCCATCTGAGACCTGAGAGGGCAGGTCCAAGTGAAAGGGATGCGAAATCCGCTTGATTCCCCCGTCTAAACTTATAATTGTGACCTCTGGAGTCCGTGTTTGTTGTTTGTTGGCTGAGGTTAAACGATCCCAGCATCCACCCCCCCCACCCCCCACCCCCTGAGAGAAAAACCCTGAGCCCCGGCAAACACCGCCTCTCTCCCCGGGGCGGCTTTAACCACTGACCCGCTCTCTGCCGACTGACTTCCACCCTGACCACACCTCCCGCGCGCGTCTATTGGCTGCTGGGGGAGTTCTCCTCTGCCTTATGATGGGGCTGCGGGTGGACGGTTTATTCTATTAAAGCTCCCAAAAAACTTTTTCCCCCCGCTGTCCCCTCCTGACACTTGTTGCGCATCCACCCCGGGAGAGGCCACCGTCAACCCGCTCCAGCGTTTTTCCTCTGGGATTTCCTCCTGCGGAGGGAGTGATGAACTCCATCGACCCTCAGTCCCATCACCAGCAGCACCAGCAACACCACCAGCACCACCAGCAGCAGCACCAGCAGCACCAGCACAACACCTCTGCGCAAGTTGGCTCCCTCCCACCCAAAGGCGCACAGGAGTCCCCGGACATGGCCGCGGTTTACTGCGACAACTTCAGCAGCATGTACCACCAGCAGAGCCTGCAGGGCGCGCAGAGGCCGGCCGCCTACGGCCTCGGGGACTACGCCTCGTCCCCGAACCCTTACCTGTGGCTCAACGGGCCGGGCGTCAACTCCTCCGCCGCGTCCTACCTGCACGGCAACAGCCCGGCGTCGTTCATCCCGCCCGCGTACGGCGCGCAAAGGCAGTTCATCGCCAACTCGCCCGGTTTTGGAGGCGCAGACCTGGGCTGGCTGTCCATCGCCAGCCAGGAGGAGCTGCTGAAGCTGGTGCGGCCGCCCTACTCCTACTCGGCGCTCATCGCCATGGCCATCCAGAACGCGCACGAGAAGAAGCTGACCCTCAGCCAGATCTACCAGTACGTGGCGGACAACTTCCCCTTCTACAAGAAGAGCAAAGCCGGCTGGCAGAACTCGATCAGGCACAACCTGTCCCTGAACGACTGCTTCAAGAAGGTGCCGAGGGACGAGGATGATCCAGGTAACGTGAAACTGTAGAAAAAGTTTTTTTTAAGAGGTGTACCAACTAATTTCCAAGTCTCAGTGAGGGTGCGTTAATTCCACCATAAAAATGATTTTTTCCCAGGCTCAAAACTTTATTTAAAACACTTGAGTACTTTCCTCACAATTTTTAATAGATTAAACATGAAATATTTCTCTCAATATAAACTCCAAAATGCAACAGTTGTTTTTTCATGACTGGTTATGTGTGGGGAACACATATATGTCATTTATAAGATTTTTGTTTCCAGATCAATATACATTCATTTTCAATATTTTGTGAAACTCCTGTTCAAATTCGCCTGACCTGGTTTGACTTTTTCTTTTTTTCTTTTTTTTACTACAATGCGTGTACACACTTGAATGGGACTGGAATGCTGTTTATAAATCAAAACTTCTTTTTAGACTAGACCATACAGTCACATTGGGGTTACCTAGAAACCTGAGGGGAAACATTATCGTGGCTTTTACATATATAAGGTTGAAAATGTGCAAATGTAAGTCATATTTCCACGTGAGAACATGTGTAAAGATTAAAAGAATCTGGGGTTTATCATACACAGAAAACCCAGATTTTGGCCTACTATACGGAATCTGTGTCAGGTGAAAGATAATAATACATTATTTCCACTTACAGGAAAAGGGAACTACTGGACATTGGACCCAAACTGTGAAAAGATGTTCGACAACGGAAATTTCCGCCGGAAAAGGAAACGGCGGTCGGACCCGGGCAGCTCTGGGGGAGCGGCGTCTGCGGCCACCAAGGCCGAGGACGGCAGGCCGGTGGGGGCCGCCCCGCTCAAGCCCCCGGACAGTCCCCAGCTCCTGGGACCCCCCTCCCCGGAGATGCAGGCCATGAGCGAAAACCACAAAACGTCCCCCTCCTCCCCGGCCGGCCTGGCCTCCACCGCCCCGTGCTTCAATAACTTTTACAGCAACATGTCCACGCTCAGCTCGGTGGCCCCCCCCGGCCGACAGGGCTCGCTGGGACTAGTGAACGAGCTGTCCAACAGGAACATAACCGCCCTGAGCCCCTACCACCCCGGGCACGGCGGGCAGGACGCGGGCGCGTCGGAGCACGGCGAGGGCCTGCATTTCAACCGGGGAGTGTACTACAACGCGTTTGGCGGCGGCCAGAGCGGACAGTTCAACGGCCACTTCTACAACAGCTTCAGCGTCAACAGCCTGATCTACCCCAGGGACGGGACCGAGCTATAGGACGCGCCTGACCACGGCCTCGCCCTTGTTAGGTGGACCTAAATGTGTGAATCTGAAAGAAATGCGTGGAGCATCACGCAGTCATCTGCATCAAATACAGAGATCAACACACTGGAGAGATTACAGGACTCAAGACATTTTCCCCACTTTTAATGGAGCTTACAGGGGGGAAAAAAAAGAGCACTGATGAAATATATTTGATAGCTCAAACAACATTTGAATTGTCCCTCAGTCTCTTTTATTTTTTTTTAAAAGTATTTTTTACATCTTCCCTTTGTTTTCCCTCAAAAGTACTCTGTATTGTTTTATTCTCCACAACTTGAGCCCCTTAAAATAACTGACAAAATCCTTCCGGATGATCACACACTTTATTCGTTATCAACACAAACTTGCCAAAGTTGCCTTTGTGACACCGTCATTACCTCAAAACAGCACAACAATCACGCGTGATGAGAGGACCCTGAAGGCATCTGAAGGGGCCTCCTTCTTTGTTGAGACAAATGCAGTAATTTTATATTTCACTGGCGTACAAAGTGAGAAAGGGCTAGCCTTATTTTGATGTCCTCCATGTTGACTGAAACCACGGCTCTAAGGCTCATGTAAATACACTAGGACGTGATAGATGTGTATTTTTGTAAATTATAAAGATAGTTTGTGAATATTTATGCTATTTATGTTGCTAGACAATTTTTCTACTCTTGTCCAAACATAGTTTGATTGAAGCTGAGTTAATATTAGCTTACAGATCACACCAAAACAGTATCAGTAAAACCCAGATGTCATAACTATACAGTATATATGAGCATATAATCAGAGCTCTTTCCTATATTGTGGTTTTTCTCAGGATACAGTCCGACAATCATTGAATGGCTTTTGTATCTGCTATTGTCTTTCTTTTATGTTTCTTTTTAAAAAAATATTCCTACAGTGCGTACGTCCTTACAGGCAGTTTGAACTGTGATCATAAATAAATATTATGTGCCCTTTATTGTATTGTTCTGCATCCTTTTTAAGTTGACCAACAAGTGTATTTAGGCCATCATTATAATCTGAATGCATTCCCCTAAATTTACTTTAATCTTATAATCAATTTTCTTCTACTCCATTTCATCTCCATGCAGCCTCATACCAATAACACACAGACAGTCTTGCCACTATTTATTTACCCTTAACCTCTAACATATGTGGTTTTAAAATGTTATAGCTGAGTGCTTTTCTAATATTCACATGCACTTTTATCTAAAATGCAAATTCTTGTTGTGCTAAATTCAGATATTCAGGGTTTTCGGAGCATTTGGAGTTAATCATGTCATGTTTAATTGATAAGTCATCAACTGTTCGCATCGTAACCTTCGAGTTTAAGTTGTCGAACTGGCAACCAGCTAAAATGAATTTAGGCTGTCTCTTCTCTTCTGTTACATGAGTGATTATTGTTGGGTGAATCATGTTGCTGTCAGAGGTAAATCTCGCAGCTCAAAAACATGTGGAGAGACATTTACCAGTTGTATTTCTTTGCTTGGATGGTTAGCAACTACAGAAATACCATTTTCCGCATATTGACCTTTCAACTGCATCATACTGTTTACTGTAAACACACTGACAAAGGGCTGTGACAGAAACAGAAACGCTTTAATAAATTAATGTAGCATAAAAAATGATTGAACAATTTCAGAGTAATGCTTTAATTAACAGATTTCCTCACTTTTTTCTAACATTTACAGAATTGTAACCTTCAGTTTGCTTCTTTTTTTTAGGTCACAATCTTATAAAAATGTTACTACAGTGAAATATTGATACAACAAAAAGTTCAGCTAAAATTTGATAAAAGCTTGACTTCAGTTAACAAATACATAATAAATGCAGAGTGTAAAGTCACATAGTCCCTAAATACATGCATTCAAATGCTCCTTTCTCCTTGCCAGATCAATTTTAATATATTCTTCCAATACTCTCTCAATGATGTTGATTTATGATGTTTTTTGCACATTCCATCCCCCAAAAAAGATGAAAAATTAAAACATTTCTCTCAAGTTTGACCTAACAAATCATATCCCACCATGCAGGGTAGTCATAAATCTAATATATACTTAATATTACTTAGAATATTTTCATTCAGTCAAATCCTAAATCCTCCAACATGTCCTCCAGTGTTAGAAACAGAAATTAGCCGTGCTGAGAAATTTCCAGAAGTTCAAGTTCGGAGCAAATCCCAAACTCTCTGCAAACACAGTGCAGTTGACAGATGTCTTGGTACAGAAACCATGAAACAATAGAGCTATTGTCTTCTGTCCTTTATGCCAATCCCCATGTATCAATTAGAGACTCTCTGAAGAGAGGTGAAGATATCCCCCTTAGACCAATGGGATTAAAGCATCTCTTTGTCTCCATTTTCCAGCCCTGTTTGCCCCAAATTGAGAGGAAGCCATCTTGCTTTGTTCCCGCTAAGAAAAGACGCATCGAGACATTCCAAGGCAAATATTTGCTCCCCATCACGTAGATTAGGGACAAAGATTTGACGATTTAGTTTGCGTTCACTGTGTGTAATTCACACCGTACCCGTATCCTCGTACTTAAAGGCTGAGCAATAAAATTTATGTGATAGTAATTTCCCATAATCCTGGATTCGTTTCTGTTTTGGCCTTCAATAATAGGGGGATGAATACTGGTAAAAAGAGAAAACCAGCATCTGTTGCCTGTATATATTTTTTAATTTACCATCTAAGGCAGTTTAAGGAAAATAGTCGCAGTCTAATGATGATAACAAGACTGGATAGGAAAGTATCTCAGCTTTGTCATTCACTTTACTTGAATTCTGTAAGACAACCTAATTTGAATAAACACTTAAATCCAAGCACAAAACACACATACATACAGAAGCGTTTTTTTTAATCTGTTCATCTCAAGTGCCACAATGACTTCTAAACAAGAACAAGTCTCGGGTGATTTGAAAACCTTTCCACTTCGGTGGTCCGCACCAGCACTGTCCGTGAATGAGTGCCCTTGCTGCCAAATGTGAACTTCTTAATTAGAGAAGATCTATTGACCCAGGCTCTGTTTGATCACCTTCTTTTGCGCCTAGAACATAAGGCATCCCGTCCTAATTTGGCATTTGCACAGCTTTATCGGGTGACATGTGAAAAGCGGCATTGTTGGACGGGCTGGGAAGCAGGTTAAACATTGGTCCGTCGGTGCAAATTCAATCGGTGACTATGTACTGTAGGTTCATGACCTTAGAAATCCCTAAATGACCCCAGTCTAGAATAGTTTCTCTAATAATCAAAAGGGATGAGGAGATGCCTCGCTAATGAGAGACTCCTTACAGAGGAAGTAAGCAACTGGAAAGTCTCTTCGGCATGTTTCACATAAAATCATGTCAACAGGAATCTTGACTATGATGGAAATAAGGATAGCAAAGTAAATGTGCAGAGAGGTTGCTGAGTTTCAAGATGCATAAATACCAGCATCCAGAAATGATCAACAAGGCCAAACTCTATTAATTTGATACATTTCTTCAATCTAAAGAGAATGAAACTGGACAATCTACACATTGTGACCAAGAAATCAATTTTAATCAGCATTATTATTCTATACAACTTTCATTTGAATGAAGACTTTCACACTCCTGTAAATTTGTTTGTCAGACTTGTGTCAGGCTAAGCTGAGAGCTGGATTGACATACATAAGCAGGATAATTTTATTTCACTTCCACATTTTCTGAGAAAAAGAGATTCTCTAGAACGTATTCAAATCTACGAAGGTGTTTATTAAGGCAGTTAGTTGGTGACCACTTTGTAAACACGTTCTTTTTGTGTATATTGAACCTGGCCCTGGTGTGTCGCGCTGTTCGAACAAAGAAAACAGCGCAGGGGGCTTCGAGATTGGAGGCTATGTTGGAAAACATCTTGATACGTTGTGTCGGGGAAGTTTGGGGCAGGAGGATGTGGAGGGCCGATAATGGGGTGGCTCGAGGAGGAGGAGGGGTGGGGGGAGTCCCGAGTTTGATTTGATCCTGGAAGGCTCAATTAAGTGGTTCGTTTACCCCTCGTGTGGAGCTGGTGAATTGGAGCCAGGTCAGCTCCGGGTTGAGGTGTTGTTCATTATTTTTCCGCCTGTCGGATCCCATGAGCAGCCGCTGAGGACGGTGGCTGCTCTGCAGCCGAGAAGCAAAGGGCTCGCCGGTGGGGTACGTCAAACACACTCAAAGCCTCTCCCCTTGCCAGGGGGATTATGATCAACAAAGCATGTCCTACACCTGCACCGACCGGCACAATGGAAACTCCGCGGGCCAATGAAGATGCAAGGAGAGACCAGTTATTAGAGGCCCCCGCCAATGAAATGGATTACATTAACCCCTTCTGCTGCTCTTCTTCCTGGCACTTGAACATCGAACTGACAGACTCCAAATCCCATTGAAAAAAAAAATCCACGTAACTGTTTTTTCCTTCTTTTTTTTTTTGTATCAACAATTTTACCGCAGCTCATTAAACGATTAGAAGCTACTGCCTCTGCCGTGTACAAACTGTTTGATGACCTGATAAAGAGCTGTAAATCTGCTGTTGCGCTTTCAACAGGTATTTCAAGGCTTTGTGTTAGGGTCTATTTTAGAGATATATTTTAATCAGAATAAAACCTCATCAACAGAATCAGTGGATTTATTCAAAATCTGACCATAATGGTGAGGATGTTATGAACGTTGACTTTATTCATGGAGATTTAACCACACCAATCAGGCGGCCATGCTAATGTTTTGCAAATCTAAGCTATTGTAACATTTTGTGTATTTTCTGACCAATTATTGGGTAGATTTTGAATATAACATTGATATGGGGAAGTGTTTATGTACACCATTACAAATTGAATTTTGAGTCTCTCAAATAAGAGATTAAAGATATAACAAGACACAGTAATATCAAATGATCAGTTAAATAAAAGGCCTGCCTGTTAGAAAGCCCTGTCTCTGGTAGAAAAGTCGTAACCCTAAGATGTTACTATAGACGTTC